TTTCTTTTCTTTTCTTTTCTTTTCTTTTCTTTTCTTTTCTTTTCTTTCTTTCTTTCTTTCTTTCTTTCTTTCTTTCTTTCTTTCTTTCTTTCTTTTTTTTTTGGTGAGGTGATCTACATGTACTATCTTTATTTCTCCAGCCAGTCCTAAAATTCCCTTTAGCACTGAAGCCGTGAAACCTGGTTTGGCCTGGTCCAGGTTTCTAAAGGTTGCGGGACTTCCTCAGGCAGCTGCTGATGACAAGGTATGTAAATGTTGCTTTTATTTCCTCAGATGAGGGAATGAGATGAGAGCCATTCCCAAGCCTTTCCAGCTCTTTCTGAGCTCTCATTGGCTGGTCCAATTCAGCTGTACTAGCTCAAAACTCCTCTCCAAGCTGACTGATTCAAACTGGCTTCTCTCTACTTCTCACTGAATTGCTCTGCTTGAAAAAACTGCCTCTGAACTCCATGTACTGAATTTCATAAACTCACTGCAGTCAACGGAACTGCAATAGACTGTATCCAACTGTGCTGTACTCCCGAACTGTACTGTCTCCCCAACCCCACTGCTGCTCTTAGCTTCTCTTTCCTCTGTGTTCTGAGAGTTGGGTGTATCCTATCTCTGACTTATTTTTTCAGATCTTTGATTAAAGGTGTGTACTAAATTACAGCCAGAGGGATTAAAAGTGTGTATTCCAGCTGAGACACACACACACACACACACACACACACACACACACACAGAGAGAGAGAGAGAGAGAGAGAGAGAGAGAGAGAGAGAGAGAAACACCAAAGTCTTTGAATATGATTCTTTGCCAGAGCAGCCATGTTGCTGGATTTAAAATTTCTCTGCAAAGGTGAAGCTATGCCTCTGTCCCCTCAGGACTGACATTCTGGAGCTCGGGCTGGTCAGTCTCCATGCACTGTCAGATTACACTGGACAAAGTAAAACCTAACACCAAAAGATGGCAGATTTGTTTAAGTACTCCAGAATGATATAGATATTTCCTAGAGTCCATAAAACTGTATGTCTTAGGGTTACTATTGCTGAGATGAAACACCATAAGCAAAGGCAACTTAGGAAGGAAAAGCTTTATTTTGCTTACACTTCCATATCAAAGAAAGTCAGGACAAGAACTCAAACAGGGCAGGAACCAGGAGGCAGAGCTGATGCAGAGGCCGTGGACGAGTGCTGCTTCCTGGCTTATTCTCCATGGCTAGCTCATCATGGCTTCCCCGTAGAACCCAGGACAACCAACCCAGGGTGGCAGAGCCCACAATAAGCTGGAGGGTCCCTCATCACTTGTTTTTTAAGAAAACATCCTACAGTCTTGCCTGCAGTGTGTTCTTATGGAAGGCATTTTAATTGAGGTTTCATTATCTCAGAACACGTTAGCTTTTGCCAAGTTGACACAAAACTATCCAGCACAATTCTCAACTTGACACACAAACACATCACTGTTAAGTCACAACTTTACTTTCTTATTCACCCCCCAAGAATACACATTAAGATCCATAGTAGAATATAAAACATTTTACTAACTTAAAACAGTTTACTAACTTAAAATGTAAAACAGTCTTTACAAGTGAGACACTTTAAAATTCGGTCTCTTTCAAAAAAAAAAAAATCTAAAGTCAGCCAGAGCATGGTGGCTCACACCGTTAATTCCAGCACTCAGGGAAGCAGAGTTTGAGGCCATCCTGGTCTACAAAGCGAGAACAGTACAGTCAAGGTTACACAGAGAACCTTTGTCTCAAAATAAAACAAAACAACAACAAAAAAGCATCAACACCTTCCAGAATCACACAGACTGTGGATGGGCCTGTGTCCACAGCACTGCTCTGTGCCTTCCACTTTCAACGCTGCCTCCCATCCCTCTCCCCTTCTCTCTTTATGCTTTAGTCCTCCCCACCACACAGTGAGCAGCAAGGCTGAGGAGTGCCCTGCCCTGAGAGAACAGAAGCCCACCCCAGGGTGGGTTTTGCTGCATCCTGGCCTGGGTTTGTCAGAGAGGGAACTGCTGGTCTGTCATCAGCTGACCGTCCACATTTCCTGAAGGTAGAATTTACATCCAGCAGGCAGGTGACAGATGTCTCCCAGGACCAGGAAGGAATGACATGCATGATAACTGTGCAAGAAAACTTATCTATGATCACGGTGTTACCAATCAGACACAGGAGCAGCTGTGTCAGGAGGATGACATCCTGTGTGGATGTGCAGGATGTGCAGGGGGAAGTGACTGTAATCCTGGAAAGAGGATGTGGCTGCATCTTCCTGTGGAAGGCTTCAGAGAGGCCTTGTGCTCCCTGTGCTGCTGGGCTGTGCCTGCGTCTCTAATGGAAGTCCTCACTGGGCTAAGGATGCAGCAGGCAGAGTGATGGCCTAGCACATCCCGGGTCAGACCCCAGCACCAGGGCATCTGGGAGTGCTGCACCTCCCTGTCCTCCTCGCCCTGGGGAGCAGGAGGCAGGAAGACCAGAAGCCCAAGTCAACCTCAGCTGCTCATGATCCCAGGCCAGAACGGGCAGCAGGAAAGCCTGTCTCAAGCAAACAAAAACAAAGGATAAATATTGTAGTCAGGACCATTCTAAAGTACTTAAGTATTTTTTTTTTTTTAAGCATATTGGACAGAGTTAAGTAAATAGTCCTGACAGCAACCTTAGAGATTTTATAAGATAAGACTGCACAGCTAGGAAGTGGCACCTTAGTTTTACATGTGTGTTGTTCAGCCCTCAAGAGGGTAAGGCAGGAGGATTCCTGTGTTGAGAATACGTAATGAGTTTACAGGCTTACTAGGCTCAGCCAAAAGTAAACAGTAAATGTAAGTTAATAAATTTGAATGAAGCCAGGCATGGTGGTACACGTCTTTAATCCCAGCACTTGGGAGGCAGAGGCAGAGGCAGGCGGATCTCTGAGTTCATAACCAACCTAATCCACACAGTGTGTTCCAGGACAGGTAGAGCTATATAGTAAAATCCTGTCTTGGAAAAAAAAAAAAAAGAGTGAATAAATGATCAATTCAGTGGTAAAGCAAAGGGATATTTGGGCTTAGATTTCATGGTAGGCCAAAAAAAAAAAAAAAAAATTCTTTACTTCCTATCTACTCTTCTTTCTGATTCTAGTATCAGATGTCCATGAGGCTGAGTCAGATGGCCACTGTAGGCTGCTAGAGACCCTGGGCTACACTGACTCTTTCCTCTGTCTTAGTAAGTTTTTTCTCTCTCATGGTCTAAGGACCCAGGACTCCCCAGTCAGCACCAAATGTGTCTAATCTAGATCAGTGCACAAGGGAGGGTGTCAAGAGCTGGGGTTTCTTTGAGCATGAAGGTCACTGGGTAAGGCTTTCCCAGCTCTGTAAGTCTTTCTAGTGCTTAAGAAAGGGAAAGGTATCTGAGAAAGCCAAAGTCAGGGAGCAGGCTTCTTTGGGGCAGCCATTTTCTATAACCCCCCTCCCCTCACAGCTCCAGGGCAAATGAATGAGCAGCTGACAAATCATACAGGAAGAAGTGGGGGCTGCTGGCTTGAACCTCCACCAAGATTTCCCAGTGTGACCCTGGAGGCCTGCACAGCCAGGTCACATCAACCAAAGCCTGAGGGACATGTGGAGCTTGAGGTCTGGGCGTCCATCAGAGAGAGGCACAGGCAGGAATAAACAAACTATTATTTTGCCAGATTGTCGGAGGCTGGGGCACGTTCCATCTCCCGAGTCGCGGGTAGTGAGAGCATCGGGTTTTGGAGTAGGAGAGCTGCCCTATGGGCCCAGCTGGACACAGCTCTCTTCCTGTCCAGGGATCATGTTCATGTGCAAAAGCTGTGGAGAAAGACAGGCACTTCAGGACATCAGGATGAGGGAAAGTGGGGTAGGCTCAGGAGCTGGAGACCCAGGACAATCAGAATGGAGAGTTTAAGCGGAGTCTGGAAGGAGGGTGAGGAAAGATTAAATCTAGTCGTGACTTATTTTAGAATCAGTGGGCCATCATTTATGAAGTAAGAACTTTAAGCACGTTAAAAAAATAAATCTTACCCTGGCATAGTAGAGCCTGCCTTTAATCCCAGCACTTGGGAGGCAGAGGCAGGTAGATCTCTGTGAGTCTGAGGTCAGCTTCCTCTACATAGTCTCAGGACAGCTGTAGTGAGACCTTGTCTCAAGCAAGTAAACAAATAAATCTTAAAGGATGGATGCTTGAGACAGGTGTGTGGGGGAAGCAGGGAAGGGACAATCCACAGTAAGAAGAGGAGTTGACCCAGCATGGCCTTGAGCAGAGACACTTCCCAGAGCCCATGGAACTCTGGGAGATGCCCCTGGGGCTAAGCACAGTTGAAATAAGAGGGAAGGACCAGCAGGGCCAACATCAGGACAGCACAGTGGGGACCAGACACCATGGAGCCCCCTTCTCTGCTTCTCTGCAGAGGGCTCCTGCTCACAGGTGAGACTGGTCCCGGAGTGGGGTGGGGAGGGCGCTGTGACAGGAAGGGACCCTGGGGGAGACCCTCTTTCTGCTTCATCCTGAGGGAGAGGAAGAGGAGGGACAGAGGCTGCTCAGCTGGGTGCTCTCAGGAAACAAGGAGTGTAAGAGTGGAGGAAAAGCCAGGTCATCTTTTATGTAAAGTGAGTCACCATTGCCCACAGGGAACATTGCTGAGCCCTGGCTGCGGGGGGGGGGGGGTCCTGACATGGTAATGGGGTGTGCTCCCTACCACAGATTTGCCAGGTCCACAGAGGATGCAAATGTCCTGGGTCAGGTCCAGGCTCTTGGGTTTGTGCCTGTCACAGGCGCTGGAGTAGGGTGAGGGCTTTCATTCTCAGGGGTGTGCTTGGAGCTTCCGTCAGGAGCACACTGTGGGAGGGAGTGCAGGGGGCAGGGCTGTGCTGGAGCAGACACTGGTGGGTTGGGTTCTTGAAACAGAAGAGGTGGGACAGGAAAGGGGGGAGTAAGGATGATGGAGAAGAACCTGAGACTCTACCGAGGGCGGGCGTGGAAGTCTCCTCTGTGTGAGGAGGAGGAGCTGGTTTAGGGTGGAGAGGAAACGGTGGGAAAAGAAGACAGCCCTGGAGAGATTTTCTTCACAGGAAGAGAGAAGTGAGTTGCTATATAGGACACAGACTAAGATCAATCTTTGAAGGCACCAGATTTATTCAGTGCTAGAGAGGATGGGTGTGGTGTGCTTGGGGAGGGGAAAGGGGATTATCACTGTGGGGAAGTGAGGAATCCAGGGGGAGGTGTGGAGGAAGGGTGCCTTAGTGCCCTCAGTGGGTGAGCAGGGGAACATATGAAGTCTGAGATCACGTGTTTCTAGGTGTCTGTCACTCTCAGGAATCAGGACACCTAGGAAGGAGATTACCTTACGAACTGAGACAGTTTGTTCTCTACTGCATATAACTTCAGGAAGCCCTTGTCTTTCTGGGCATCTGTGGGAGAAGAGCTAAGGAAATAGATGCTCTCCGTTTTCTTCATTCCATGTTCCTCTTCTCTGACCTTTCTTCTTCAGTCTTTATCTCCTCACAGCAAAGTTCTATAGCCAAGGAAAACATTATGCTTGATTTAAAACAAAGGCTAAAAACCATGTGGTATTAACAATTCTGTGTGAAGAATGCCCCTTCTCAGCAGGCTGCACTCGCCTGCTCAGGACGCAGTGGGCCCAAAACTGATGGTGATTCTTTCTCCCCTTTAGCCTCACTTTTAACCTGCTGGAACTCACCTGCCGCTGCAGCCCTACGAACAACTAAAGAAATGCGGTTCTCTGCTGCCGAAGGGGCAAAGGTTCTTCTCCATGTTCCTAACCAGGAAGAGAATCTTCTCTCCTTTTCCTGGTACAAAGGGAAAAATGAACATGAAAATTTTACAATTGCACATTATGAAAAGGCCACAGATGTACTTAAACTTGGAGATAAAACCAGCGGCAGAGAGGACATATATAAGGATGGATCCATGATGCTCCGGTCCGTCACCCAGGAAGACTCAGGATTCTACACTTTAGAAACCTTTGAAGCACACAATCAGCGTGAAATAACATATGTCCACCTCCAAGTGTACAGTAAGTGACTCTCTGTGACCCGTGGGTCCTCGGTGGGATCATTCCACTCAACACACGGGAGGGACAGCAGTGCCCTGTGCCTGCCTCCCCTCTGCTCTGTGGCCCTCACTGGGGTTTGAGCATTTAGTGCAGGACACACGTGATGGAGTTAAACCACAATAGACCAAAGTCCATCAGCAAATCTATTCTGCGGAGAGCAGGGCATGCAGTGGGTAACTCAGAGGAGATTAGACCCAGCCAAAACCTTCAGAGCTCTCATTATGAATGCAGCCCCATTAGACCCTGAGGGACTCAGGTGGACGGACATAAATGAGGAAAACTGAGATTCTCACATGGGCTCCAGACCTTGTCCCAGACTCCACTCCAGGTGAACTTGAGGACCTTTTCTCCAGAAAAGGACTTCCTGTTAGGGCTGACAAGGAACAAGGCCTTACTGACATGTGTAAGCAGCCAGCCCTCTGCCATGACAGCCACATGTAAGCGGGGTCCCCTGGGCATCTCCTTCTGCTGAGACTTGGCATGGACAGCACAGGTGGACAGCTGCCCAGGCCATCAGCCAGATGTTCTCAGGGCTTTGTAGGTCCTCATGGCATCTGCTTACAATCTGGGGTCTGGTCAGGGAAGTCTCATAGCTAGGGAAGTGGTAATAGACTCCCCCTCTGCCCCAAGGTCAGGCCCTTGTTCATATTCAAGGTCAATGCATAGTCTTGGCAATGATCATTCACCACGTGGCTGAGCGAGGGTTGCCCAGGCCATGGGTGGCAATCACAAGCACAAGATACTGGCTATACCCTCGGTCTCAAATTACTATTATTTTTTTTAAAAGAAGATTTACTTATTTATTATGTATACAATTTCTGCCTGCATGTGTGCCTGCAGGCCAGAAGAGTGCACAGGACCTCATTATAGATGGTTATGGGCCACCATGTGGTTGCTGGGAATTGAACTCAGGACCTTTGGAAGAACAGCCAGTGCTCTTAGCCTCAGAGTCATCTCTCCAGCCCATGCCAGGGTTCTTAATGAAAAACCCTTATTAGGTGCCTGTGGAGTGGAGAGGGGCTGGCTGAGATCTCTGAATCTCTCATTTGGTCTCTTCTGTTTACACACAGAGATTGTGAAAAAGCCCTACCTCCAGGTCAACCAAACTAGACTGAAAAGACGGAATGCTTCAGTTCTCACCTGTGTGTCACCTGACACCGGAGTGGACATCAACTGGTTCTTCAATTACAAGCCCCTGAATATCACAGAGAGGATCACGCTGTCACCCGACGGGCGAAGCCTCACCATAGCTCCCATGTGGAGGGTGGACACAGGGATCTATCAGTGTGAGGTCTCCAACGCCTTAAGTTCCAAGAAGACTAACCCAGTGTTACTAGTGTTGGCTTACGGCTAATGTCTCCTCTCTTCCTATACCAGAGCACTGAGGTGTTTATGTCACTAGGGTGCAAAGGGTATAAAAGTTATAGGGAGAAAATACTTGCTACAGACACACAGACAGTCTACATGATGACGCACACCCGCAATCCCCAAATAGAACACAGGTCAGGCAGAATGTGAGTACAGGGCCAGTCCAGCCACACATGCAACAGTGATGTCAAAAGACCTCAATACAGGCCTGGAGAGATGGCTCAGAGGCCAAGAGCACCGGCTGTTCTCCCAAAGGTTCTGAGTTCAATTCCCAGCAACCACATGATGGCTCACAACCATCTATAATGAGGTTCTGTTCACTCTTCTGGCATGCAGGAACACGTGCAGGCAGAATAATGTATAAATAATAAATAAATAAATCTTTTTTTAAAAAAAGCCCTCAATATAGGAATAGAATTGCAAAGGAGGTAAGCAGGGCTCAGGTCTGAACCACATATGAACCCTCAGAATTCAGAGGGAACTGCTCAGTTGCCTCACACTCACTCACCGAAAGCTGCAGCTGTCCAGAGCCCACTGTCAAAATGCTGCTGAGCTTGTGTAGAGCTAATCCCATCTTCTCACATGCTCGGATCCTTCCTGATGCCCAAGCCCTATGCGGCCTAGACCCCAGACATCCCTGTGAGGTTGGAATAATGCCCCGAGATCTGAATGGACATGTTTCACTGTAGACATAGAAGTTTTGGACAGTTCTGATCTGTAGATTGATCCCCAAATGTAAAATCCATGGACATAAAGGCCACATGTACTGAGTTTCTTGTCCTGTGTCTGGCATTTTTCCATCTGACCTTGTACAAAATACTGTTTTGTCTTAACGGTTTCTGGTTTGTAAAATACCCACTTAAGTGTAAGTGTATTTTACACTGAACATTTTAATGACAGGTAATAATGGCACACACCTTTATTCTAGCACTCAGGAGGCAGAAGCGGGTGGATCTCTGTGAATTTGAGGCCATCTTGGTCTACAGAATGAATTCTAGGGCAGCCAGGGCTACACAGAGAAATGAAAGATGCAGAAAAACAAACAAATAATCAACCAAAGACCGGCTTTCGGTGGGACTGACTTTTCAATACTGTTTATTTATTTTCCTTGTATCTTTAAGCCTATGTCTGCTCCCAGTGGCTTTTGTTCAGGGGTTAGCGGGCATGGGGTGGAGACGGGTGGGGGTGTCTCCTATTATTGCGTTAAGGACTTATTGTTAGGATCAAGGGCCCCTTTGGTAAAAATCTGCACGTGGAGGAGCCGCTCCATGAGTCTCGGCTGCAGTGTTGGCCCTGAAGTCAGGCAGCAGGACAGACCTCTGATAAACCACACGGACTTAAGTAAGTCCCTCCCAACTCTTGGTCTCAGTTTTTCCTCCTAAAACGGAAATCATTTTTCTCGTGACAGGTACAGGTAATACATTCCATGAAGGAACAAATAAAAGTTCATCATACTGAAAGCCTTTCCCCTGCACAGCCCAGGGTTAATCCTTTCACATTCGGGCCCTGTCCTTCCTTCCTGGACAGCTGGCCGGCCTCTCAGCTGGGGCCACTGCTAGCATGGAGGGTGGAGCTGTGGCTGGGGTAGCTGGGACAGCATGGCAGTGTGTTTCTTACATCCCAGGAGGACGGGAAGATATGGCTGTGTCCCCTTCTAGGTTTTCTGCAGTCTGAGCACCATTTTTGGAAATGGATAGGGACTTCTGTCCTCTGCCTCAAGCTGGCATCCCTAGGGAAGGGGAGGTGGGAGGGCCAAGAGTTCAAGGGCAGCCTGGACCCTGTGGGGCATCCAAAAAGAGCCTGTGCTAAGGATGACCTGTTCCAAACCCAACAAAATGAAGCTGAGTGTGGTGGCTCATAGTTCACTCCTAGCCCTCAGGAGGCAAAGGTGTGTTCCACACCAGTCGGGACGACAAAATGAGACCCTCTCCTCATAAAACAACAACAGTAAAACAAACAAACAAAACCACACACAACACAAAACCAGTAAATGCACTAAGAAATGAACTCTGCTCCAAACTCACAAAAGCCAATGAAGAAACCCTACATTGTACAGTACCCCACTCCCAGTGTCAGTTGGGTGTGCCCCAAGCCCGCTTCAGCTACACGGCAAGCTCCTAGAGGGACTGCCCTTGGACCTGGGATGCCTGAGATAAAGACCCAGGTCAGCGAGAGGCTCCTCAATGATGTCTTCTACTCTGTCACCTGTCCCAGGCCGCTCACTGTCCAAGCTTGCCCAGCTCAGCACCTTCACGCTTGCCCGGCTCAGCACCATCCTCTGTTGCAATGCCTGACTGTGGCAGCTTCCAGAAAGCCAGGCCCAACAGCTGTGAAAACAGCAGGAGGCAGAACCGACTCCTGCTCCCTCAGCGCCGCCGCAGTCGCCTCCAGCAGGGCCTCCATCTGCGCAGCGTCCTCCTCATGGTGCTGTGGTGACCCACGGGAGAAGCAGCTGTAGGGAGAGGAGCTTGTCTGGTCCCGGGCAGAGTCGGAGTCCGTGACGGCGGGGAGGCCTCGGCTTCAGGAGCTCGAAGCAGCTGCTCGCAGCCCAGCCACAGGCCGCAGCGCTCAGGGCGCTTTCTCCACTGCACAGTCCGGGGAGTCCTGGCCGGGGGACGGTCCCACCCACACTGGAGAGGGGCCTTGTCACACGTGCTAGGTGATCAAAACAACATCTCCAGACGTTCTCTGAGGCCAGCCCTAGTAGGGAGGCCTCACAGGTGTGCTGCGGCCTGTTACCGAGGTTCTAGACTCCTGCTGACTGACAGCCTCCGCCCTGACAGTTACCTAGCAACAGCACCTGCTGGTGGTTAAAAGCCACCTTGTCTGCACTCGCTTCCCGAACAACTGAATCGCAATTTGTGGATGGGGCCTGGGCTTCATTTCTTTGAACAAATGTCTCAATGACTTCAAGGTGTCCCCATATTTTCTGCTTTGTATTAGATTTCTCTGTGTTCTGGATTTCTCTTCCATGCTGGGAATCAAACACATGGGCATTCCTGAGGTGCTAATACACCTGTTTAATGTCAGTATTCAGCACTGGCAGGCACGTTTTTTCTAAGTCTGGGGTTGACCCGGTCTCCACAGCAAGTTTAAGGCCCGCCAGGGCTAGACAGTGAGACCCTGTCACAAAAAGAAAAAGAAAAGTGCACTAGAGATTGCTTGGTAGTTTAGAGTATTTGGCTGTTCTTCCAGAAGACCCCATGTACTAAGGCAGCTAGAGTGAGGCCAAGTCGAGGCCAAACCCCGGAAATGTCGATCTTGAGATCATCAGGAGTAAGGATTGCTCCCTCCCTGCTCTGTGCCAGCCCCAGCAAACTTAGTACGACTGATTCCGTACCGCCACAATTCTCTGAGTGTTCATTGTAGCCTGGCACTAAAATCTTCTCCATGTAAGTAAATCATCATCAGCATCCCAGCCCCAACCAATGATGTGAGCCCACCCTGGGAATTCCTTCCCACATCCCCAAGGTTCATCTCGCTTGTTCACCCCGCATAAACTGACACAGTTGTTTCACCGAAAATCGTTCAAGAGTTGCTGTGTCACTGGGCGAGCTCCGAGCTAAAAGGCGTTAACACTTGAAGAGCTGCTTTGGAGAAGGCTTTCTCTCTTTGGCATTCACCGATAGACTGGGACCCTCGGACCCATCTGCCCGGCTTCCTTCCTTCACCCGGTGCCCGCACGCTCAGGAGCCTGGATGCTCAGAAGTGAAGAAGCAGACAAATAAGGATGGGCTCACTCCTCCTGGCTCTGCCTTGTCCTTCCCAGTCTGGTGTGCAGTGGTGCCTGGGTGCCGCGAGGGAGGAAGCAGAGCGTGGAACCATACCAGGCTCGATTTCCAGCCCCACACAGCGGCTGACCGCCCTCAGGCCTGCATGTGCACCAGGCAGGCAAGTGGCACACACACTTGCATGTGGGTAAAGCACCCCCTCCCCCCATAAAAACTTTAAAATATGTTTAGAAAATAGAAAAGAGGCCGCGTGATGGTGGTGCATCCTAGTGCAGAGGCAGAGGCAGAGGCAGAGGCACAGGCACAGGCACAGGCACAGGCATGGGCGGAGGGGCAGAGGGGCAGAGGGGCAGAGGGGCAGAGGGACAGAGGGGTAGAGGGGCAGAGGGGCAGAGGGGCAGAGGGGCAGAGGGGCAGAGGGGCAGAGGCAGAGGCAGAGAGGCATCTGCAAGTTTGAGGCCAGTCTAGTCTATAGAGCAAGCTCCAGCTCCAAGACAGCCCAGGATACACAGAGAAACCCTGTCTCCAAAAGCAAAACAAAACAAAGTGCACGGAAGAAAGAAAAGTAGTGAAAAGCAAGGCAATAGGGAAAGTTATACTCCCTGGATGAAGAACCAGGCCGGGTTAGCCCCGCCTCTGTCACTCTGCACATGGCTGTGAATGACACAGAGCTGCTCATCTGTTTCTGGCAGTGTGCTCCCCTCACAGCCATGTGCAGAGTTAGCATTCTGTAAGTGCACCCTGTGTGTGCTGATGAGGAAGCAGACGGCACTGCAGAGCAGAACAATTCGGAAACAAATTGCGCCACACAGACCAGGCGACCTCCCGCCATCATTCCCCACTTCCCACGGATGACTGTTATCTGGACAGCACTGGCCTGGGAACAGACATGACTGCAGCAGGCGAGGGAGGGGCTCAGCTTCACGCAAACACGACGCCCTGTCTACAGGGGACTCTGGGCTTCCACAGCTTTTGGGGTGTGTAGGGCTTCCAAATTCAGCTCCCCATGAATTCTGAGGGCTGACTATGGATTTGATCCAGACCCAAGGCTCTTCTTAACCCCTTCACATTTCTGTTTTATGTTGGCTTTGTTTGTGGCTTAGTAATTTTCACTCCATTTTTCACACCATTGACAAAGAGTTTTCCCCACAGCGGTGTAGGGAGGAGAGGTCAGTCACTGATCACAGACGTGCGAACTCGGTTACTCTGCTTAGTCATGCAAACTTGAAGACTTCACACTGATCTCCCCCGCATC